CACTTGGCTTGCACCACAGTCCGCTGTATCCAGCAGATGCTTTTCAATTTTAAGTATTAATGGCTATTACTAGTATCAGTTAACTAAAGGCTGTTAGAAATATTGTCAAAGGCTTATGTACATGTATATAACATTACTTAATTTGAGGAAAGTAGTAACTTATAGGTGGGGCAACCTAAAATTCTGATGGGCAACCTAATTTTTGCGGTACGTTGCCCACTGGGCAATCTGGTTCAAAAAAGTATTTTGTACACTGATATTCAATGCCCTGTCTTCGTCCCAAAACAAAAGGGGCGTTTGAAGACGAGGACATTGTTCACGTGGACGGAGACGTAAACCCCGTTCGCGACATGGAAACCATCTGGGAGGAACTCCGCATGAAAGACCTGGAGTACCTCAATACGCACGTCTCCAAACTGGAGAAAACCAGCAAACAAACCAAGAGCCTAAGGCCTGAGTATGTGAGTATTGACCGCACGTCGGCAGAACGTACTGCACCTGCGCGAAACCCGTAATGTATTGTGCACAGCACTTCGGCAGAATGTCTCATATAAGGTCGTATTCGTACATATAAGGTTAACACTCCGACTGTAGTTTCCAAATGTTAGGTTGGAAAAAATATTGTCTGCAACAGGCAAAATTCTGACCAAAAATCCACCGGAAATCATGAAAAATAGGGGTTTTGCACAGGTGCAGTATGTTCTGCCGACGTACTAGTATTGACCGCCTTGTATTCTCTCTGTAAAAAGGGGCATTCGAAGATGATGACGTAACGCATGTAGAGGGCGACGTGAATCCCGTACGGGACATGGAAATCATCCATGACGAATTGCGAATGAAGGATATCGAATACGCGGAGTCGCAAGTCTCCAAGATGGAGAAGACATGTATCCGCGGCGGAAATAAACAACAGAGACCGGAATACGTGAGTACTGTAAAACTGCCACATTTTTGTTTGTTCTCTTCTGAAGAAATATGACTACTTGTTGTGCTGGACTTTCTGTTCGTTTGGTTTGCTACTGTCTTTCTGTAAGGTGCAGTTCTTTTCTTTGTCAAAAGAGGGAGCTTCCTTGCGTAGGACAAACAGAAATTCAAACCGTAGCACATACAGTCATGAAGAGACATGAAAAATGATGCTTTTTACAGTATTCAGTGTTCTTTATTTTTGCTACACAATTCTTTTATGTAAAGATGTTTGAAATGTTGTTTTTTTTTTGGTGATGCCTCAAAGTTGAAGTCATTTTCCTTCAATCTTGAACTGTTAGTGTTGATTAACATGGTGAATTGTTGTTTTGTCTCTATTTTCTATAGGAATGCTTACTAAAAGTTCAAACCCTCTTAACAGAGGAGAAGAAACCTGTCCGCTTTGTGGAATGGAGTGCCCAGGAGGTAAGCTACACTCTGCGTGTGTATGTGTGTGTGTTTATGTTGCCATACATACTACTGTTTTTGTCTGTTGGACTTGAATGTTTTTTTTATTCACATATATTAATTGAGTATTACACAAGAAGCATAATTGCTTATGTGAAGCCTTCTACTCAAAAATATAAAACAAGAGTAAAACACAATGACTATACATACATACTTACAAAGTGGATAAAAGAAAAATGAGTATAAACAAGACAAATTGGTGATCTACCAATTACAAGAATCTACCTGTACAATAAATATAGTTTTGAACTACATCGAAGTGATGTGGACCCTCGTAGCAGTAAAGAACATAAAGAACTGTCATTGAGATACTGTAGCTCTACTTTGTTAGAAAGAAATGATAACAGAGTACTTCTTTGACTAGTATAAAGTTTACAATGTTTGAAGGTTTTATAGTAGATTTCTTCATAGTTTTTTTTGTTCATCCCCATTTCAGAGATTATTTGGTAGTGTTTGAACTTTGAATAGTTGTTTCACTATGATAGCTGCATTTACATGTAGGGTAATGTATACAATCAAATCTCAAATGGTTGCAAGCAGTATGGGTAAGGGAGTGAAGTCTGCCATCTCTGATTGCCTTATTTGTCTATGTTTAGATTGAGATCCTGAACAAACATCTCCTCATCACCTCCAAGCCGATGATCTATCTGATAAACTTATCAGAGAAGGACTACATCCGCAAGAAAAACAAGTGGTGAGGCTGAGCATAGCTCTGTATTCGTAGTCACTTAATGCTGAAATTCAGCACAATATCAGGATACACTAGAAAAGTAACATTTGCAAAGCAAATGCATAATGTTTACCTTCGCAAATGGTCTGCTCTGTTAATTCTTACTCAAACACATTCACATATATGGTGACAGGAGTCTAAATCCCTCATACTATAAAATTGCAACATGATGTAACCCAACACCAGTTACCATGGTGACAGATGTCTGGTTCAGGTTATTGACCAGGTCAGAGGTCACTGTTTGGAGACGAAGAGGAAGAAGAAACTGAGCAAACTGTTTCCTTCGGTAATCATAATCATTAATAAGACACAACAGAATGTACTGGGATAAAACAATACATCTCTTTAACTAAAAACAAAACACAACTGAATGATTCACATTCCAAAATATTTTTTAATTCAGGCTTATGAAGATGAAGCAGTGGATTGATGAGAACGACAAGGGTGCGCGGGCGATTCCGTTCAGCGCCGCTTTCGAGCTGAAAATGCTGGAAATGGAGACAGACGAAGAACGAGAAAAATACGCAAAGGAAGTGGGAGCTACAAGGTCTGTAATCATCAATATACTCTTTCCTATTTTTTATGGTATTTTCTTGTAGAAAATAGTTTTTTGACAGAAATACATTTTTTGCAAGCACCACACATAAACTGCCCTAGTGTTCATATCATAAATTTAAAAACATAGCAAATTAAGGATTTGAAAGTAAGTTTTCCATAAAACAAGATGTAATCAACCCCAATAATGTTCCCTTTTCCTGTTTATTTAAATTTTCTTTGCCATTTCTTAAGTGTCCTGGACAAGATCATTGTGGATGGATTCAAGGCCCTCAACCTGGAGTATTTCTTCACTTGTGGGCCTGATGAGGTCAAGGCCTGGGTCGTCCAAAAGGGCACCAAGGCCCCCCAGGCGGCCGGCAGGATCCATAGCGACATGGAGAAGGGGTTCATCATGGCGGAGGTCATGAAGTTTGATGATTTCAAAGAGGAGGGGTCAGAAGCAGCAGTCAAGGTCAGATATTAAACTTTGTTCCAACACAATAAAAAAGACAGTGAATTTTTCTGTCCATGTCCTGTTGAAGTCCAGAGGATCAGGTCCAAAGTGATTTTTTGGTCCAGAACCAGTCCAGTGTATTGGCACCTACCATCAACCCAAATTTGGTCAGGACTGACAGTAGCACAGCATTTGAGTACTGGATATCACAAAATACACATACCCCTAATTGTTGACAAATGGGGTCATGACGGAAACTAGCACATCATTCATATACTGGAGATTCCAGTCGACACATAGCCCTAGTCATAAATAAAACTTTGATCAGGACTGAAACTAGCACAGCATTCATATACTGGAGATTCCAGTCTGTGCATGCCTTGAGTCATAAAAAATTTGGTCAAGACTGAAACTAGCACAGCATTCAGGTTAACAGAACTACAACTACCACTAATTATTAAGTGCAATCAAAGATATGTGGTTGTAGGTACATGTTCATTCCATTGACATTGTTGTAATTTCTGTTTTTTCGAATCTACAGTCTGCAGGCAAATACAGGCAACAGGGGAGGAATTACGTTGTGGAGGATGGTGACATCATTTTCTTCAAGTTCAACGCACCTACGCAAGGTGGCAAAAAGGCCAAGTAGGGACCCAACTTCAGATGCTTGTCTTCCCCCAAAACAGCAATGGTTTAGCCCAAACATGCACCCCACACAAGCTCAAACCACTAAGTTGTAAATAAATGCTACTGATTCTGGTTTTAAGTGTCAAAGGAAAAGAAAATTGCACTACTTCACTCACCAAGACAGTAAATGACTAAGACGTAATGTACCGGTAATAGCACCAAACCTAAAAGCTCCAAAAAATCATGTTTAGTACCATTTGACAAAACATTTTCTGTGTGAACATTTTAATTGAAACTTTCGAACATGTGGTATATTTTCACGTTGCAGATAAAAGAAATTTTAATACACCTGCCATAAACTGCAAAGTAAAATAAGCTCCAAGTAAAATACAGAAGCAGAACCTCTGTTTTTGTTTTGTCCAGGACACACAAAATGTTTCTACCTTTTTGCCTATTAGCAATGGTATGAAAAAGCAACATGGCGAAAAATTGCTTCCAATTGTTTGAAGTTAGAGTGCCAAGTGTGTTGCCCTATGAGTGACTACTTTGCTCTATGATGTTTTGCATAACCACCTTAGAAAATTCAACTACAGATAGTAGTTCTTGGATACTTCAGTAATTGTTTTAGACATTTCAACTGTAAGAACAATACACTTATTTTGAAGGGAAACAATACCTTGAAGTGGCTCGTTTTTGTACAAATTTTCCTGGTTTTGATTTCATCCACTGCCTCCCTACATTTTGTCGCATGTGTGCCACCAATAAACAGTGCTGAAACTTGTCATATGGACATGTGAATGTGTGGATTTCTTGTATTTGTAAAATTCCAGTTAGACTTGTGCAGTTACCTACAATGACATCTTAGGATTTCCTATGTGGTGTTGGGTTACATCATGTTGCAATTTTATAGCAGGACTGATTTAGACTCCTGTCTGACCATATACATGTACTAGTATATCAAATTAATGTGTTTGAGTAAAAGAATTAACAGAGCAAACAGTGTGCGAAGGTAAACATTATGCATTTGCTTTGCGAATTTTACCTTAAAGTTTCTAGTTCTAATCATTATGTTTTCTTTTCTCTGTCTTTTCTGTGTTTTCTTCTGGAAGAAAATCTACCTCTGGCTAGCAGAAGATTGGTACCTTCACCATTGGATTCTCCAATAACTAAACAGAAAACCAATCATTTACATGTACATACATGTATTGACATGTGAACATCTTACATGTACATGGGTGAATGTAGTGACATTTCTTCCCCAAAATTCTGCTCTGCTAAGTACAATTTAGATTGTAAAATTGTTTTTTATGCTTTCTAAAAAAAATTGCCAGCCTTTCAGCCAATTCACTTTCTCTTAGACATACTGAGAATAGTAAAAGCTGTTGCATCTGTGTGTAAAACTTTTACCACTGTGGAATGACATGTTTGAAAGAATCCGCTCCTGTGGTGTTGCCAAAAAGTGCATGAGCTGTTTTTAAATCCTAAAGAAAATAGCAACACCAGTGGTTGATGTGACTACAATATCTGTCCTATAGAACACTACACGCATCTAACATTTGGGTGGATTTTTCACTTGTTTATTGATACAAATAGATATGTTTGAATCATCATCATAATAATATGCTCGCTTCAGTGTTGTTACATGGATGTTGGACAATAAATGCTGGATTTTGTTAATAGCTTGATAACTTTGATAGTTGAATAGTTAATTATGTTTGGATATAGCGATGGTCACTAGTACAATGTAACTATAACAATATAGTTGGCCTGCTTTCCATAAGGTATTACACATGAAAATGGGGGAGGGGGGCAGGACAATGTGGTTGACTACAGTTGTATGTAGACGGCAAACTTGTCCTTGTTACAGACAAATGTTTTGCACGTTGGTCTGTGCTGGCGTCGGTGTTTCTGTTGACAAGCCCTGTAGAAAGAAAAAAAGGAACATTACAATCAGAGATGGCAGACTTCACCCCCTTCACTTCCCATACACCAAAAACAATACATGTACAAATGTACTTCAGTCTTTTGGGTTGTGTGAATACTATTTTATGTTATAAAAACGCTTTCATTTAAACAGTTTACGGTATACAAACGCATTTAAAGTTTACCCACTGTCCATGACCTTGGTGCTGAAATGATATCCATACGGGTGTAGCAGCGCAGAATGTACCCCTGCCCAGAATGTACCCGTTATAATCTAGACTACTAGTATATCCTGGGGTGTTGTGCCGCACCCAATGTCACAGTCGTATTTGTATAGACTGATCCTGGCTGTCCATCACAATTAGCAGTTCAACCAATGATAATAATTTCAGGCATGTTTATTGTCTTTATGTAAATGTATATAGAGTACAGTACTGGCCAAGCAGAGGTTTGTGTTTGGCTTATTCTTGGTGTGTTTTTAGGCTTTTTTTATTGGGTTTCTTCTGCTTGAAGTGTACATATAGAGAGCCCGCCCACATTTCAGACCACAATTCTGAGAATAGACTGTTGGACACCAGGGTACTTGACGTCGTAATGATAGAATGGCAATTATCGGCTCGACCAATGAGAGAGCGGCTGCAGGTCCGTCAAATATTTGCATTTTTACGTTTTGACCGAGGTGCATGGGCAGAGCTATGAGATCGGTCTATTATCACCTACCGCGAACAGTACATGGCTACGCCACAGCCATTGCAGCGCCGAAGTTTCACAGCGCCCCCTGTGGTGCCGCACTGGAAGCACAGCTTCGCACACAGCGTCGTCTTGATCGGCTTCTCTTCGGCAATCACCGACGCAAGCCTCGTAGCCCCTTCGGTCACGCCCGCTTCCTTCGCCGAGAGAAACACCGGAATCCTCGTTGGCCTCTTTTCCTTCTTCACTGGTTTCATTTTTCGGGGCGCCGACGTCTCTTTTGGTTTCTTCTTTTTGGCAACGCCACCATCTCTCTTTGCCCCTGAATGAGATTTGACCCGCCTGGTCAAGTCTTGGCTCAGACGTTGGTCTTTGTTTTGCTCGGTTTTAGGCTGTAAAAACAGATCAACTCCACCTGTGGTACCTGTTTTAGTGTCATCGTCGAGAAGTGCGTCCTTTACTGACGGCCATTTTGTTGCTAGGGACGCCGCGATGGCCTTGGATAGCGGTTCGGTGGATACGATTCCGCCATTTTGAAAGTCGGTGATTCCGCCATTTTGAAAGTCGGCGATCTTCCGTATTGGAGGGAATTCGTAAGCTTTTTGTTGATCTCTCTTTTCGGCGCTACAACTTTTCTGCCGGAGAGAATCTGAACGTTCGGTAGACGGAGGACGGCTCGTTTTATCTACCGCATTGGAAGGCGGGGGCTTGTCGGGGTTGGGGTCGATGCGGTACCGCCTGTGCGTGTTGCCCGTACCGTTCAGCAAATGGTGCCGCTTGTCCTCACTGTACACCACGTCAACGGTGCCGTCCAAACAGTGCCTGATCTCGGGGCTTATATCTGCTTTATTAGTGGGTTGGGGGATGTTAGGATGATCGGGTTCGATGCGGTAACGCTTCTGTATGTCTCCCACACTATCTAACAACTGGTCCCGCTTGTCTTCGCTGTACACCACGTCAACGGTACCGTCCAGGCAGTGCCGGATCTCCCGACTGAAACTGCCGGCTGAAAGTCCACCTGACGCCGCCGGCGACTCCGTGGTATCCACGGCGGATGCAGCTCGCGGTGGCTCGGTACATGTAGATGTGTACACCGATGCCTGCGTTCTTTGTACGAACGAAGCGTTGTGGGGGTCTAGTTCCTCTACTATGGCGACCGTGAGATCAGACGTTGACACTTTCGGTGTTTCTTCGTTTTTGAGACCGAAGAACGACATCACCTGTTTCTTGACCTTGCCGGGCCATTTTTTTCCTAACCAAGACCCCCAACCAGTTGCTCCGCCATCCGAACGCTCATTGGTCGAACCAACTATTTGAAGCTCATTGGTCGAACACTGAGACGTGTTTTCACCGTCGTTTCCGTCTACTAGAAAACCGTTTGAAAAGCTTTGGTCGTCTTGCGGAGAGCGGACGAAAGGTGGTACCGAAACGTCGCTAGCGGATTTGCTGGACCCAAGACTGCTCCTCTCCACACCGGGGGGTGTTGTTCTCTCAACCCGGCCCCGCGCCCGGCCCCTTCCCGCCATGGGCGTGGAACAACATCGCTTGAGCCACGAAGTCACCTTCGTATCTTCCTCGCTGCCAAAGCTTGAATCCAGGGTCTCTCCGTTGACACTCTGGTTGGCGTTTTGGTTGCTTGAGTTGGCGCTCTGGTTGCTGAAGTTGGCGCTCTGGTTGCTGAAGTTGGCGCTCTGGTTGCTGAAGTTGGCGCTCTGGTTGCTTATGTTGGCGCTCTGGTTGCTTAAGATGGCGCTCTGGTTGCTGAAGTTGACACTCTGGTTGCTGAAGTTGGCGCTCTGGTTGCTGAAGTTGGCGCTCTGGTTGCTTACATCGGAGTCGTTCAGTTCTCTCGGTATGGGCGATACGACAGCCACAGAAGGAGTCGAGCCACGACGGGTTGCATAGGTGTGCCCTTGCTTCGTTTTAGCCATGTTCTCAAATGTCTGGACAAGTTTCGAGACCCCTCCTCTTTCTGTAGCGCCTTCAAACCGGTTATAACCGGTTTGGACCGGAGTGACGTTTTGTCCACTCGCGAAATCAGTCATGGACTTGTTACAGGTCTCATCACTGGTTGTATGTGCTTGCTTCAGATACTGATAGGAGTTGTTCCTGTATCCATTGATGGCCTCATTTGCGTCGTAATATTCTTCTGAAGAAGGTCTAGTCTTATCCCCGTCAGACGACGATTCGCTGGTTTCAGAGTCTGTCGTAACTGACTCAGGAAGATTGTCAACTCTGTGTAGCAATGCGTTAAGTTTTTCGATGTCTTCCGAAGTAAGAGGTTGTCCTGTGGCTTCATTTGTGTACTTCTCGTGTTGGGCAAGCACATTCTGTACTTTCTTTCGAAATTGTTCTTTCTCTTCTTCGAGTTCTTGTAGTTCTTGGTTCGTTTCTTTCAACTCCTCCAAAAGCTCGTCAGTGTCGTCAGAGCTGGTAGAAGTCTCGCAAACCTCTTCTTTCTCCTCCTCCTCCTTCGTTGACGAGTTATTTCTGTCCTTTTCCCGTCGGATGTTCTCCAAAGCGTCGGAAAGCATCGCCAACTGTTCGGCATTTTCCGGAACCGAGCCTTCCTCTGACGTCACGTTCGGACGGTACAACCGGAAACGCTGTAATTTCTCCCCCTTCTCATCCACGTATTCGGTCATCCGCATGGCCTTTGTGGTAATCACTTCCGGGTCATCCACAAAGCGGAGTACCTCTTTGCCAATGTAACACAGCCCCGCGTAGTTTTTGGAGGTGGTGAGAAAAAAGACGGTTGGAACGGGAAGGACAACAATGACGTCTCCTTCTCCTTTCGGCTTCGGCATTTCTTCTCCTCCTTTTTTGTACAACATATGAAAAGCGTATAACAGTCCACAAGCAAGATCTGAAAGCGTCATCACTGACATTAGAACGCCTTCCTCCTTTTCTTCAAACGACTTCAGCCATTTTGTTGCCGCCATGTTGCAGCATGCTATCAGCGAAAGGCTCTCAGCACTGCAAGTCCAGCGCGAAACATCGCTGATTTTCAGCCGAGGATCTTGTGAACCTTCGGGCTTTCGTACCTGCATACCCAGTAATAGCTGTAACTCTGCATCTACCCAGTCTGTCTCAACGTAAAATATCTTCGTATTCAGTTTGCACATAGGAATTATGTACGGGTAGATATATGGGTGCGACGTATAGAAGTCTGAGTGAACCAAAGGTTTCAGGTAGGGCGCGGCCGCTTGTTCTATCTTTTTCCTTCTCGTCTTGTCTCCGAATAGGTTCTCCTTGTAGCACTGCGTGCAGATATCGTCTAGGGGAACTTTCACGACTATCTTGGTGTTGGATATCTTGATGAGTAGCCCGATGAAGGGGGTGGTGAGTTTGTTGATGGTGAACCCTCTCTTGTTGGCTTCAGCCATGTGCTTGAGCTTCAACTTGATGGCGGAAGTTGCTTGATCCAGGAAACCGGCGACGTACTGCTTCTTGGGACGGACGTCCGTTCCCGGATCCTGCCCGTTTGCCATATTTGGGTAAAACCACCAGAACGAAGTGAAGAGGCAAAACCGTGGTAACCAGACTGAAATAAAATTGGTGTTACTGTCGTCTATTTCACTGTGATTTGTTACACACAATAGATACATTTAGAAAGGTAACAGCTAATGCATAATGTTTACCTTCGCATATGGTCTGCTCTGTTAATTCTTACTCAAACACATTCATGGTCAGACAGGAGTCTAAATCCCTTCTGCTATAAAATTGCAACATGATTGTATCACAACACTAGTTATCGTGGTGACAGACGTTAGCTTCAGGCCATTGACTTTGTTTGGAGAAGAAAAACTGAGCAAAATAATGTTATCCTTCTGTAAACATAATCAAACACAACGCAGCGTTGAAAAACAAAGGCACACTAGCTTTTACAATGAGAATTAGAAGTGTTTGGTCTATATCTCTGCTTTGATTTTACGTAAAAAAGATCTAGAGACGTATTGAATTAAACCGTTTACTAAAAGATCCAATAGTTGTATTTGTAGGTCCTATATTTGTATGACCGTACGGATGGATATAGATCAGTACCAAGGACAGGTGTTGTTTCTTATGAGTGCATACGTTTGCTAGTGCGTACGTGCATTGTTTGCGTTCACGTAGAAGAATTTCAGTACCAAGGACAGGTCCGTTCACCTAGCCTGGGTACCATCCCCAGTAGTATATTCGCAAACTCTATAACTGGGTCTGGACTTGCACACATATAAAACGATTGGTCATGACGTCACGTAATGAGCTAGCCCGAGCAGCGGGGCTTCATTTGATTGGCTAAGCCTCAGAGGCGACGGCCAATGTCGCGCCTGCATTATTCAAGTGATGTTTGTTGTTTTGTAAACACAGATCTTCGTGCGAGTGTTCCTTTTCTCGGCGCGTTCTTTTTTTTACCGGTAGGACGCCCAAAACATAACGAACGAAATTATTCAATGCATCTTTTTGCTCATTTTTGAGCGACGATATTCCGTCTAAATCGTCCAAAACGGACGTGATTGCGAGGTCAACATCAACCTCCGTGAGCTGAGCGGCTTGTGCGTCAGCCATGTTGATGATTTATCGCGGAAAGACTGACTACGGCTATATCATGTGCGCTTTAGCGTTCGGTTCGCCGTCGGACATGTTGATGATAAGGCGTTCGGACGTTCGAACGGACGCTAACGTCGCCGTTCGGACATCCGAACAGCCCTTACCTAATATGTACACACCCAAAAAAGGGCTTAGACGAGTAGGACCAATCAGCGCGCTCGTTCAAAATCTGAACGAATATTTAGACTCCAGACGCTACATATGTGTGCAAGTCCAGACCCAGTTATAGAGTTTGCGAATATACTACTGGGGATGGTACCCAGGCTACCGTTCACCCCCCAATGCCCTCTGTTTAACGTACTACAAATATTATTGTAGTGTAAAATACGTAAAGTAGAGGTAAAACTTTAAATGACATACCTGCAATGTTGCCGTTGCTTTACGTATAAGCTGTCGGTGTGGGCAAAATACAGACTGCTCTCACGAACAACAACAAAAATCGCGCTGTTTGTTTATTTGTTTGCGCTTCTGTTTCTATGGAACGCCGTAACGGAAGGTTGTTCCAAGGCAGATGACGCGCCTTTGTCGTACATTGTTCTGGAACAAAGTCCACTGGTGGGCCATTAGGGTTGATTATTACTTTTTTCGTGACTCTTATTACAAAACAAGGAACGCCTGCATGCGTTCATGACAACTCCGTCACAGACAGCTAATTTTTGTACAACATATCCACAACTGTTCCAAGAATGTCTTAAAAATGTCTTGCTGTCGTAAAAATATCGTACCACAAATGGAATGTGACCTTTATTTCAAATCAATTATACACAGAGAAAGAACCTGGTCAGCTTCGTCGTACAATAGGTTTACGACGGAAACTAAGATATTCGTAAGACAGTTGTGGGTGAGTTGTCCCTACTTTAACAACACCAAGGTAACATACTTAAGTATCAATCGTTGAAAGAACGCTAGAAGAATGTGAAACAGCAACATGATAAGAAACCATACTTTGTTTTTATTTGTGGTTTGACATATCAGGACTTCCGTGTGACTTCAGATAAATAAAAAATTGGTAAAAAAAACACATGCACATTGAAAGATTGGATGATGATGCTCTAAAATAGAATCAGAAGAATTTTTGTCACACTTTTTGGGATCTTTCATGGTGTTTTTTTTTTCCATTTCTCCCAGAGCTCTGTATGCTCAATGTAAAAGTGTTGTCTATCTTTCAACCGTCGTCACAACTCACAAGGTATCGCGAAAGTATCGGATGTTGTTCTTTAGATCAGACCTCCGCGGTGTATGTTTTCATTTTTGGGGAGAAGATAGCGGTAAATGTGGCGCCAAATGTGGCTGGAACGGCAGCGAAACGGACGCCTCCGCAATGTATGTTTTCATTTTTGGGAGAAGATAGTGGTGAATGTAGTGACAACTGTGCAGTGGTTTCCCTATACATTGTATATACCTCTGGTTCTGTTCTTGAGTTTGTGCCCAGTTTTCAAGCAGGCAGGTTTTCAGTATGAAGCCGTCCGTTGTGTTGGTGTTTGCGGCGATGATGCTGGTATTGTCCGTGGAAGCTAACGGGCTCAAGATCTGTCCTTATGGAGGTATGGTCTTTCTTTTTTTTTGTAACAGATTCTGTGTTGTAGCACGCATCAAATAAAATCACTTGCCCGGTCACGCAAAAAATTTCATGTCGTCTGCATGCTTCGAATTGAACTTTTCTACATTATTGTTTTGTCAGAAATGTGTAATGTCAGAATTGCCCTGAGGAAGGTGACAGACGGTCATCGAAACGTCGGCTGTGAATAAAACACTTGGTTCGTTGATGAAGGTTAGACATCCAGGTAAACGATACTCGTAAGAAAATTCAAACTCTAGTTTTGAATTTTCTTACGAGTAAAACACTTGGTTGTGTAAAAAAAGTCTCTTTACTCACTATCTAGATTAATGTATTTGTGTGAAATATCAATGTACTGTCTGTCAAAAATGCTTAAATACGGTACCCTACATACTGCTAATTTTCTAAATTTGAAAATGTGCTTCTTGGCTTCTGAACGTGTATAAATTTTCAACTGACAAGGCTTGGTTTGTTGTCCTTTTCAGTGTCCGAGGAGAACAGTGTTAGGCCGTGTCAGAACGCTTTACCCAAATTGTCCTGTGGTTACTTCGAAGGAGACGGTACGTCCCCCGTAGTGGTAATTTAGATAGGCGGGCGAAGGGCTCTTGGCTGCCGAAGGAAAGCGGCTAACGGCCCGGTACTAGTCTGGCACCCAGGATAACGCTTAACTGGCCTTCATAATGCAACAGAAGCTAATTAGATGACGGGATTTAAGGCAAACAATAATTGTCAAAACGTGTATTTTAATCTGCGGCCTCTACCAATGCAACAGTATGCTATTCTTTGGGGACATTTTTTTTTAAATGCAAGAGTGACCGTGGCAAAAATTAATGCCACGTTTTTCTGGAGGGGTCTACTAATAGTAGTGAGCACTGGCTATTTTTTTCGTTAATTCATAACTTTTAAATTTCTTTATGGGGGTATATCTTTGGTTTTAGGCCTTGGCACAATATACTCCATTGACAGTTTTTCCAAAGAGTAGGGAATCAAGAACGATCGTACAGTATTAGAATCATCTGTTACGTTCTTTTAACTGTAGTCAAGGCGTTTACCCCAAAGTGCCTGTGGCGAATGAACCGCTATCGCCGTCTCCACAACTCACCGGCCCTACACTGGGACCACGCCCTCGCCACCCTCGCCGAGAAGTGGGCCGAACATCTCGCGAGAAACAACGAGATCGTCGACGCAGGTAGCGGCAGCGGTGACAACGAGAACCAGCTGTTCTATTTTCCCGTCGTCACTTGCGAGGCTGCTGTCAACACGTGGTACAGCGAGGCCGCCTGCTATCACGGGGACTCTCGTCCAGGGCCAAACTTTGCAAACATCGCGCATTTCTCCCAGGTAAGACATAACATTTGGAGTCGAAAGAAGGTGAGGGGCATACCAGACAACTGACAGGCTGTCACTGGTATCTTAAGCTTGATACCCTGTTGCCTAGATAATCATTGAAGCCTTTTTACCCTCCATGATAATGTTAAATGGAGGTATTGTTTTTGGTGTGTTTGTGTCTGTCTGTGTATTTGTCTGTGTTTCCGCAACGTTGTAGTCAGCATAACTTAAGAAGGCCTTTATGGATTGTTATGATATTTGGTATGTTGGTAGGTCGTAGGAAGACAAAGGTCAAGGTCAAATATGGGCCTCCTGGTGGCTGTCCTTGGTACTGCAGCAACTAACCTCACGTTCGAATCAAGTTGGTCTGGGGAGGTAATTTATAAACAAGAGGAAGAGAAATGGTCCCAGGACGATACCTTGTGGAGCTCCAATTTTGAAACTCCAGTTGGGAAAATTTTTCTAAGCTTATGTGACATCTAGTATTGCTCAACCTACGTGTTATGTCACGAACTATTTATAAGTTGTGCATAAACAATATCAAAGTTTGCCCTAGTAAGTTCTCTAAGTTTACTGATAGAGTTGCAAAGGGGTAGTGTTATAATTTTGCTTAGCTTTTTTTTTATATTCCAACATGTAATCATGTGAAACTTTTTGTTCCATTGCTGTAGATGGTGTGGAAGAGTTCTCGCCGGGTTGGCTGCGGTGTATCCGGGCGCTACATGTGCTGTAACTACAGCCCCCAGGGCAACATCCTCACCTCACACGCCTTCCAACAGAACGTCGAGATGCCCCACGGCTGGGTCCTGCCTGCTGGCCTGCAACCGCCAGACAAGTGTAAGGAGTCAAACCATTCTCGTCAGTCGAATGTGATTGGTCAACGCCTGGGCACAGGATTTGATGACCTGGTCAATAATGTGGTGTGAATACCATGGTGCATTGCGCCATAAGAATGCCACGAGTTTACCATTCCCATGATGCATTGCGCCTGGGGGTTAAAATCTCCTATTCACTAGTTTCCCATCCCCAGAATGCATTGCGAAAACAGGGGTCTAAACCTCATTTATACATAGGACAGGAAGGCATCGGAATGATCCTGTAGACGTCAAACAGCTTGTTTGTCAGTGTGTTTTAAGGTGTTGGGGCATTTTATGCTCAACATTAATTAAATTACTATGGGTTGAATCTGACAACAGATAGAGAATGAAGTTTTTGTGTTCTTTTCAACATGGAACATGTGGTTTGTAACGTTACAGCATCAGTATAGCGTTACCTCTATAACATTACAAACCACATATTCCATGTTAAAAAGAAAAACTTTATTCTCTATTTGTTGTCAGATTTGACCCATAGTAAGTCAATTAATGTTGAGCGTAACCCCCAGGCGCAATGCATCATGGGAATGGGGAAACTTGTGAATTATGATTGACAGCAGAAAAGTACGATAAAAGATGATGCAGAATGAAGTAATGTTGAATGACGTAGTCTTGACCCTCAGTCTTATGATTACTTACGAACTAAATTCAACGTATTAGGTTTTATTATATAACAGTTACTGTATATCTTAAACATTTCTGCCTACTACTGTCTGTTGGTTTGTGTTCCTACTTTCAAAAAGAGATCTTGAAACGGTATCTACTATATGTAGATCAAGAGGCAAACACAGAATGTTTCTTTGGACAGTATCTTGAACATGGCTAATAACTACATACATGACACAATTACAAGAAATATATCTCTGTAACAGATATAGCAGCAAGCTTGTACTTTACAAATGTATTTGGTTTGACATATACAAGGGCCAGTAATTGGTAATTTTCTTCTTTTCTCTTTATCTCTATATTTTCGACCCCTGCGTTACAATTTAGTCTAAAAGTAAGTCATATGTGGTTTGAACATCTAATAACGTATTTACTAATCAATCTTCTTGGCACTTTTTTGGCGACGCCACAGGGGTGAAGGCATTTTTGAAAGAGCTCGAGCAGAATCATGGGATATTGACCGAAAAGGATTATGGGATGTCGCCTGCTTCAAACGAGGTCCCATACTCTGCCAGCGTCACATCCGGGGCACTAGAGTTAAACACTCGATAGTAAATGTCGTCGAAATAAAAGCCTGCATGTCGAATGTCCTGATTTCTATGCTGTGGTTGGAACTTTATCCGATTAATGTACTCGTAGGGATCACCAAAGTCGAATCTCTCTACTGCAAGAAAAGCGCCCCCTATCAGAATTGCTTTTTCATCCACTACGTACTTCCATTTATCCATATAGTCTCTTGGGCTTGCAACAAATGTCATGTCCAGTCGGTGCCATTCTTCCATAGGTAGATTGGCTACTATGAGATGATAAGAATTTCTAAAGCAGTCCTGAGTACGTGCACAAAATGTATAGTTGGGAAAAATCTCGGTCGTCCGAACGGCCAAGCCGAAGTCATCGTCGGCGAATATTTCCATGTAGTTCGACGATCGTTCGTTTCCGGTGGGATTCGCCGCGACGACGGCCACTCGGGAATCGTCGGGTCTTCTCGCTGCCATCTTGAACCAAAACGATACATAAAACGAGTCTCCGTCGCCAAGGTAACCCTTGTCGACTCTGCCGGCTAGTTTTCGGAGGGGAGGGGAGAACGGGGTCCCTTCGGACGTAGACGTAGAGCCTCTCTTCAGATGCCAGGAGAAAACCCCAGAGTGCGCCTGCTCGTTGGTGACTGCCTGTCCGCCATCTTTGCCGAAACGGCAAGTGTTCCAGGTCCGGAATAAGAACCTATCCGGTTGGTAGCAGTCGCCGTCAATGTTAGGAATGGCCCCTCCCGACCAGTTTCCGTTCACAATGGAATCGCCAAGCTTCCATCCGGTCTCCACATTGTCACCAAGGTACACTGAAATACAGTAAGACATACATGTCTTGCAGGTAGAGTTTCACCCTTGTTTTTTTGGCTACGCCTGAGGGGCGGAAGCATTTTTTGCAGTACTACAATTGCTTTGAAAGAATGTCAAAAATTGCACGAATGCAGGAAATTTGTTTTGAGGTAACTTCGGCTATGTGGTCTCCGGAAGAAGTTGGGAAGGCTCTTGTTATTTTTCTCCCTCCCCCCCTCCTATCACCCATGTAACTTAGTAAAGCTTAAAGATTAGGATTAATTTGTAAAATCTTACCTTTCTCACAACTTTTCCCGTCCCAGCCCAGTGTACAGAAGCACTTCTCGCCATCTACCAGCAGCATACAGGTCCCGCCATTTTCACAGAAGTTCACGTCACATGGACGGTCTGTAGGACATAAACACAATTTATGGAAATGAGTAATAAAGGAATAATGTAGTCAGTAGACACCACATCAATGCAGTTGACTTTGGATACAGTTGACATGCTTTTTTTTCAAAACAAGAAACCTACACATATACAAAATATAATAATACTAGTATACAGATATATTGAAGAAATATGATTATGATAGCTAACTTTCCATTGATGTTTAGAATATGCATGTTTAATTGTATGTAACATGAAAATGAAAGGCTAAACAATGGATAACATGTGACTAGTCTAATTTTGACACTAAAAACTTATTGGGTCCGACTTCTTTTTCAGAGGCAGTGGCAGACCAATGATCTGGCTTGTTCTGTAATGTGTGGGTTTAAGAGGAGAGTAGTAATTATATTTCACTCCATACCATGGTATGGATGAAATATATTGTTTTTGTTGCACATGGATTCTTACCGATCCAGCGGTTGCATGTCCGACCCTCCCATCCCAAGACGCAGGTGCAGTCAAACCCGGGTGCTGTCTCGCTACACGTGGCCCCGTTTTGACACGGGTCTGAAGCACAGAAGTTACCTGCAAGAAGAAGACATCTCTAGACAAACTTTCCCTCGATCACGTACGGCAACAACAACGAAACTAAACAAGAAACATTTGCAAAGCAAATGCATAATGTTTACCTTCGCATATGGTCTGCTCTGTTAATTCTGACTCAAATACATTCATATATATGGTCAGACATGAGTCTAAATCCCTCCTGCTATAAAATTGCAACATAATGTAACCCAACACTAGTTACCATAGTGACAGACGTCTGGTTCAGGTCATTGACCTTATTGGTTTGGAGGAGAAGAAGAAGAGAAAACAGAGCAAAAACAATATGTTTTCCCTCAGTAAACATAACTAAAATTTTTATATATTTTGGGTATGTTCTCTTTTTTCTTCTTTGACCCCATGTTGCCAGTGTTATATACTGTTAGTACATGTCCTTACGGTAGAGACCATTGAAAAGTTTTGTCGAACGACTCACTGATCTCGCAGTTGGTGCCGACCCAGCCGAACATACAGAAGCACATGTAGAAGTTGATAAAGTCACGGCATCTCCCACGGTTCTGACACGGTCTGGATGCACACTCGTCTGTATCTAAATATAGAAAACAGGAACAACACAAATAAATTCAATATTAGTAGGGGGGCATTAGTACCAACTTTGTCAAATACGCATTCTAAAATATGGAGATGGTCTACCTTATAACAGAAATCTCAAAAGTTTGTCAGTTGTTGAATTATAAGCTCCCTGTACATACCCCTTGAAATTTCATTTGAGTTATATATAAAATACATAATGAAAATTAAAGTGTTCTCCAACTCAAAGAAAAAACACAGAACGTGATTATTTTGCGAGAAGAGTGAAAGAAGCTATTTACATCAGGGCATACCAACCTTCTCTCGACCGGGACGGGGGACGATACAGACTTCCAATGAACTTTGACCCACTGCTGACGTCACACGTGGGTAAAAGTCACGTGTCTACAGCACTCGGGTCAGAAAGCTGACAAATACCGAGTAATTCAGTCGAAAATTTCTGGTGAGTTATTTTTTTTTAGTTGGAGAACAACGTGCAGATTGTTTACGGGAAACTAGAGTGAATTTCGTCCGGAGCTTACCTATTTCACAGTGGACCCCCTCCCACCCCGGCAGGCACTCGCACGTGTAGCGGTTCACCCAGTCATGGCAGGTGGCGCCGTTCTGACATGGGTTGGAGGCACACTCATCCGTATCTGCAGTACAAATATACAACAGTCATATTTTGTTTTGGTTCTAACAAAACTACCTCTACAAAGACATACATGTATCACAGAAAAATGATTAGCATAGCGCTGATTGAAGCGAATAGCATTTCTAGTAATAATGATAATTTATCTTTGAATATTGTAGTATTGGGGAGAGCCTATTGATAAACCACTAGGTTTCTAGCCCTCCCATGCATGTCTATTTATTTCCGAATTGTTATATTTATTTTATTTGTGCAAAAACAATAAACAAACAAACAAACAAGCATGGCCCGCTACCATAGCTGTTTCTGGATCTTCCATGTCTAAACCAGTATGTCTTGAGTCCTTATAAGATTGCAATGATATTAGACATTGAAGTGTGCATTTTTGTCACAACCTTATTCTGCGAGTTTTGTTTCCAGGTGAACTTACTTATTTCGCAGTGGACACCCTCCCAGCCAGGCCCACACTCGCACTCGTAGTAGTTCACATAGTCATGACAGGTGGCGTTGTTTTGGCACGGTAGAGAGTCGCACTCATTGTTATCTAGAATAGTGTACATGTATACAATATCAAAACCTAGCGGCTTTAGCACTTTTCAAAAACTGCTAAAGTCAAACTAAAACTAAAAAAATGCATAATGTTTACCTTCGCATATGGTCAGATTGCTCTGTTAATTCTTACTCAAACACATTCATATGTATGGTCAGACAGGAGTCTAAATCCCCCCTGCTATAAAATTGCAACATGATGAAACCCAACACTAGTTACCATGGTGACAGATGCCTGGTTCAGGTCATTGACCTTATTGGTTCGGAGAAGAAGAGGAAGCAGAGCCAACAGCAATATGTTTTCCTTCGGTAAACATAATGATAAAGCACTCGTAAAGTGGGAAGGATTGAATAAGTGTACCAGTGTATCAAATCAAATGAATTGAATGAAAGAGTTGAGAAAAGTTACATGTATACCGTCTTCGCAATGCACTCCCTGGTAGCCCGCTACACACTCGCACGTGTAGTAGTTCACAAAATCGTGACACGTGGCGTTGTTTAGGCAGGGGTTAGACCCACACTCGTCCGTATCTGTCGAAAAAAGAAAACACAAATTTCATACAAGAAACATACAATCTTCCCTATACACCCCCATGAAACTCCTTCCTCTTCGCCCCCGCCGTTCTGCTTCGCCCCCGCCCCGTTCTGCTTCGCCCCCGCAAAAAATCTGCTTCGCCCCCGTCGTTCCTCTACGCCCCCGGCGCAATTCTGCTTTGCCCCCGTCCTTCTGCTTAGCCCCCAATGGCGGCACAGCTCACAGTCGACACGAAAATCGTCTGCAAAATAACAATAAAGGCTGTGCCGCCAAATTTAAAGTAGCCCATGCTCCGACAAACATTCTGGACCACCTTTCTGCCAAGTGGCGTTGCACAAATCCTTCCCATTCAAAAGTTTACCCCTTCCTCACGGCCCGTCAGTGGT